GATTGTAAAATTTATCTAAATATATAATTTAAATTAAATCTAAAATAATTTAGTAATATTTTCTATTAAAAAATATAATTTTATATATAAACTAAATTTATTTGTAACCACAAAGTTATATCATTATATATTTATTCTAACATTATTATATTTTTAATTTTTTATTCAAATAATTATAATATTTATTACATCATCTGCCTAAACCCTCAGTTCAAATTTGGTCGAATCATTGAACCTTCAACCTCTCATTTTTTCGGTTTGATTTCCGATTTGATTTTCAGAACCTTGAAATAGAGTAAACTCAACTGAATAAAGATATGTCATTCTTATTAACTTGTCTTTGTTGAATAAATCTCATATTGAGTGATTTGAAATGATAACCTATAATGATGGGTTGAACTAGAAACTCATACTCCCCCTCTTTAAAATGATTGCCAGCTTTTTCGGGCTAACACCAAGCTTTTCAAACTCACTAGCAGCATATCCCTGAAAAAATTACATACAAAACTTAAGTAATCTTCTCTATTAGAAAAAAAAAAAAAGAATGACACCTTTTAAATAGTAATGATATATATATATATATATATATATATATATGATCCAAAATTCTTTTCTAAGAGATTCGATCATGTATAAATATTCTAGCCCAAATTCATTTTATACAATCAAAATACAATAATCAAACTACAAAATACCTTCTCCTGATGGTTTTGTTAAACATTAAGGTATATATAATAGAACTTAGAGTGGCGGACGGCAACCGATGTTGGTGATGGTGGTCTACATTGGCGGATGACAGTGATGGTTAACAGTGGTGACCGGCGATGGATGGTAGTGACGGTGGCTGACAACATTACAAGAGAGGTTGTGTGAAATGTCTTAACTAGAAATAAGCTAAACTCTTAAACATTGATGTACTTTTTTGATGCAATTGTTGAAATTTTATTAAGAAACTCCAAGGTAAAACACACTCATGCTAGAGCAATCCTAGGATGAGTGACTCCTAAGCTGAGATGAGCCGCCTTCGTCTGCTAGGGTTTTTTTCGCTCGATTAGGGCTTTCGCCCTAGCCGCCTTCTTCTTCTCCGGCGCCGGCTTCTCTCTCGCCCCCCTTTTCTTATGGCTAATAAAAGGTTAGATCCTGGCTTTCTTGAGGGTAAGCATTCCAAATCCTTCAAAGATGTTTTGTCTAGTTCAGATACATCTAAGGTTTTTCCGGATTTTCGTGTGTCTACGATTCGGGGTTTGCCCGCTTTGTGGTTTTTGGAGGATGAGTTTTTGCATATTGCGAAACCTTTTGAGTTTGCTTTAGTAGGAAAGTTTCCGCTTAAACGGCCGTCTTTGGATTCAATTCGTTGGTTCTTTTTCAATCTTAAACTCTCGGGGGATTTCTCTGTTACTTTGTTGGATCAATCGAATGTGTTGATTAAGCTTTCTAATGATCTTGACTATGGGAGGGTTTTTGCGCATCGATCCTATTTCATTTTTGGTTGTTTCATGAAAGTGATCAAGTGGTCTCCTCTCCTTGATCTGTCGGAGGAGTCGCCGATTGTACCAGTGTGGATTTCTTTTATGGTGCTTCGTCCTCACCTGTTCTCTCTTAAAATTCTTTTGGTTTGGGTTCGCTTTTTGGTCACCCGATTCACACCGATAATGCCACGGCCGGTTGTTCGCGACCTTCAATCGCTCGTATTCTTGTAGAAATCGACATCTCCAAATCGTTCCTGGACTTTGTTTGGCTAGGTCCGAATAATCTGGGGTATATCAAGAGAGTTGTTTTTTGAAGGAATACCAAATTTTTGTATACATTGCAAAGCTGTTGGTAATAAAAAGTCGGATTGCATTAAATTTTTTCCTCATTTACGACCGGCTGTGGTTTCGGCTCCATCACCAGTGACACCAGCTTCTGACCCCGTTATTGTCCCTTTAGCTTTAATCGATCCCTCCTCTACTCAATTTGTGTTGATGCTGGCCAGGTCGCTGGGTGTGTTGTTTCCCCAGTTAGTTTGGTGGAGTCTGGTTTTGCTGTTAGTTCGGGTAATGTTGATTATGTTATTAGGGATGCTGATAATAGTTTAGGGATTAATAATGTTATTGTGGACTCTGGTTTAGCTTATGGTAATTCAGTTACTGTGACTTCGTCTGATTTACTTGCTTGTTCTGTTGAAAATGTGGGTGTGGTGAATGGATTAGATTCTGGTGTAGCCATAGTTGCTTCTGTGAAGGGTAATTCGACGGCTGATTTTATTTTGGTTAGAGAGGGCTCACCCTCTGATCGTGTCCCTGCTTCTGTCGATGTGGGGATTGGGGCTCCTGTATCTGATGTTATGCATAGTGATTTGAACTCTGTTGTTTCTTCCTTACATACTGTTGAGGTGCGGCCTTCTGAGGCTGTTCTGGGTGGTGAGGTTCTGGTTATTCCTAACTCGTTTGTGGATGTGCCTGTGAAATTAATTGAGACAAATGCTATGGTTTAACATGTGGGTGATAATTCTGGGATGGATGTGTGTTTTCACCTTTATTGGCTTCACTGTTCGTCGGAAGCTGAATCCGATTCCTCTTCGGATCATGGTGGTGGTTCGGATCCTGGACATGATTTCAAAATGGTTCGTGACAGTTCGGTTTTTGCCGGTTCTCGTGGTAGACCTCGTGGGAGGGGACGTCGAGGTCGTTAGTTTATTTGGCTCCCTTTATGCACTATGACTGGTTTATTTCAAGCTGATTCATCCGAATTTTTGGTTGGTTATGGTTTTGACAGGCGATGATGTGGTCGGGGCTCGCTCCATGATGTTATGACTCTTGGCAACCTTTGGTGGTTATTCCTTGGCTGGTCGGCTGTTAGCGACGTTTATCATCAAATTGGAGGGTCGGTGCGTGGTTTCGAGGAGCTGGAAGCCTCGGCCAATTACTTAGCCATTTTCGTCTGATTTATTGTTTTTTTTTTTTTTTGCTTTTACTTTGATTTCAGCCTTTTGTATAACCTCTTTATTTTTTTAAAATAAAAGTTCTGTTTTTGTTAAAAAAAGAAAAAAAAAAAAAAAAAAAAAAAAGAGGATGAGTGACTCCTAAGAAGTTTTACAAATATGATAAAACTGTGAGGTCATTAGGCTAAAGCAGATAATACATCAATAGTTAAGAGTTTGATCTGTTAGCATTACACTAGTTAGAAAATCAGAACTAAGTGTTATATTGGATAAAGAGCTACACCATGAGGGTCATCTCTAGAATCTTATATGGGACAAAGTATTAAATGGCAGGGGCCACCACTTTAAACTGTAGAGGCCATACACCTCTAAATTCTTAACTGTATGGAGAATGATATTAGGATAAAGATATTAACGAAATGTAGTTACTAAAGTGAGGAAGATTGTGAAACCCCTCAAGTATAAAGAAGCTAAAATCATAAACATCAATGCACATTTGAGTGTAATGATCAGAATTTCATTAAGAAACTCCAAGGTTAAGTGTGTTAATGCTAGAGCAATATTGGGATGGGTGACCTCCTTAGTTACACTAATGAGATAAAACTATAAGACCATTAGACTAGCGGACAATACCTCGATAGCTAAGAATTTGAGTTGTTATAGTTTGCTTGCGGTGAAAACGATTTTCACTCAAAACTTGGCAAGTTTGCTTTATCGCAAAAATGAACTTTGCATTCCTTTTTCATCCAATCAAACAAATAAGAGATATATGAGAGATAGAAAGAGAATATATGTCTCTAATCAAAATGAAATTGAGACCAATAAAATTTGCAGGAGATGAGAGGGATATAAGACCACTTACTTATGAAGTTATCATTAAATAGTTTTGATACGCCATGCAAAAATTATCTTGATATGGCACGAATCTCGAGGCAAACAGGGGTTTTCCACGTAAAAATCTTGGTGTCTCATAAATGCTAGACCCTCTCTCCTTATCTGATTGCGTGTCAGATTTTCGTACAACGCTAAGAGGATAAACTTTATATTTCTCTACTGCCGCGAATACTCCTGGACGCAACAAGTTTAAATTTTTTGACAAAATTTTATTTAGCTTTAAAAATATAAAGTTTAGAAAATATATTCTAATACTTAAAAGAAAAAAACAACTTTTGTAAAATTTTCAAATAAAATAATTTTTAAAAATAATACTAATAACACAAAATTTATAAAATTCAAATGGTATTACAAAAAAAGTATTTTTTTATCCATTTTATTTTAATTCCAATTTAGAATAATATTTTGATTTGTGGACTAATTTTCTATTTAAAAATCTTTTAAGTGATGATTATAAAAATTAGATTTCACTGTTACATTAAAGCATCTAAAATTTTTTTCTTATGAAGATTCTTTCGTTCCTTCAATTTCAGGCTCTTCAGAGTCCAAGGCGTTCCTTTTGGACGGGAGCTATCTGCTTGTTTCTTCGCGGATTTTCTTCTAAATTTCTCGTTCGAGTACTTCTCTTTTGCTGCTTTGATGCCATTTGTTGCGTTCCAGTTGCTATTTTTCTTTTTCTTATTTTTTCTTTTTTAGATTTAAATGAGTATTTAATTTTTAAAGTGCACAATGAATTTCCTTTTTATCAATGTCCTATTAAGAGTTAGAATCTCATTTAAATTTAATAGAAAATCATTTCTAATACTTTCTATTAAAGTTATTTCAAAATTTAGCTCTCTCTCTCCTAATCGAGTTATCGATAGGCTGACATTTTATACAACCAAATCATCTAAAACGATGCTCTCTAATCTTATTTGTCACTAGAGCTACTTTAACCATTTCACATATATACTCATTTCGCATTCAATCTTCGTTTGAGACAGCTTTCTTGTTGCTTTCTAAAATAAATTTTTAGTATAAAAAATTCTTAAATTAGAAATTTTTGTAAAAAAAATCTTTTTCGAAGGCAATAAAAAAGAAAAGATGTTACAAATAAAACCTCAATCTCTAAATATAAAACCACTCATCCATATTAACCTCCTCTTCTAATAAACAATATTTTACATCATAAAACATATAGAATTTTCTCCTAAGCGGAAATAATTTTGATATGAATCCTTTATGCATTTTGATAATGTACTAAAAAAATTAATTACATGGGAAGAGAAAATTCTAATGGAGGGTAAAGATATAATTTTGACAATTATTTTTTATAATATATATTCTCAAAAATAAATACTTATATACCAAAAATAACCCTCGTATTCTATATCTGCTAATTTATATCGCCCAATGGCGAATCTGTCCAAGATTATATGCCAAGGAAAGAATAAATAAACAATTCCACGCCAATTAACGTTCCGTCAAAGCACGTCGACTTTGGCCCTGCATAACTCGTTCAAAATCCGGGCATCTGCCGTCAGTTTATTCACCGTTACATCACATTGTAGCTTAACGGTAATCGTCCAGATCTTAACGGCACCAAACCTCATCCTCATGGGCAACTCCGCGTTGATCCCTAACGGTACTTCACGGCGTTTCACGGCCGCCGTCAGGCTGCCTCTCAGATCATCAGCGAAACGGATACCAGAGCCCCTTAACGCCGTTTGTACGACCGTCAAATTCCGTTTACCCTGGTAAAAAGACGGCCATGCACCTCGGCTTAAAACCTCGCCGGAGTAATCGATGACGATAGATCCGCCGTCGGGGTAGTAAATCCCGATCTTCTTGTTCGTATTTGCGGATCGGATGGTGAGGTCGACCTTCGGCGAGGCGGAAGCGGAGGAGGAAAGGTTGATGTTGTGGATGGAGAGGGAATCGATGGAGAAAGAGGGGAGTTTTGGGAGGAAGATGAGGTAGACGATACCGAGTGCGGCGGCGAGAAAGATGAAAAGGAGGGAGAGGACGATAAACAAAAAGAAGAGGCAGCGGCTGCAGGAGCCACGTTGGCGTTTGGCTGCTTGGCGAGTATAAAAATTGAAGCGGTATGCATTTTCCGGTGGTGGGATCCGGTAGATCTGGTCTTTGGGGAGCTGGATAACGAAGGATGCGGAAGGTGGCGACGGCTTCAGCATTGGATCCGCCGGGGGCATTCCCAGCTTCTCCCCCTGCGTCGGCAGCGATGGCGACGGCGAAGAAGGCTCCGGAGGAACTTGATCGGCCATCGCCGGAGTTTGTGAGTAACGAGAAAGCGTAGGGTAGGGATCTGGGGGCTGAGGGGGATGTTATAAAGGGGGGAGGTTTTGAGGCGAGGTTAAGTATTAATAATAATAATTAAGATTAGTAATGCATAGTGCACTCATTAAATTAAAAAAAATAAAGAATGTGAGTGATGATCGAAAATGCTTAGCTGACTTGTTCTGTTATCCAGCTGATAATGGTCAATTTGATTAAAAATTAAAAATCAATATTTAAAATTTTAAGCTAAAATTAATTATATATCTAAAAAATTTAATTATAATTATAATTATATAAAATTTACTTAATTAGAAGAGTTAAATTTGCTGAATTAAAAAAATAAATACAAATTAATTTTTATTGATTAATAATATATTTTATTATTTTC